AACTCGGGTCTTGAGTCTTGACTCAACATCTCAACACCCGACCGATACAACAGCTGTCTCTTATACACATCTAGATGTGTATAAGAGACAGCTAGTGGCCGGTCGCCCCGTGAAAATAAACTGTTTCGCCGTTTTTATCAGATGTTTTACGGATTTCTGGTGTTAAATTGGAATAAAAACGGTGAAACGGTGTTTCTTTTCACGTGCCAACCGGCCACTGAAATGCCGGTATTACCGTTAACGGTCATTTTTCTAACAGTGTGACGTACGAGAACTGAAGATCCCTATACGAGATCTAGGTGAACATTCGCGCTCGTATCGAGTCTCTCTTTCTAGTTTGTTCTGGTAGAAAATATGCCTATGGAATATACCTGAAAATTTTTAATTTTATAAAAAAGTTCAACGACATGATAGTTGCGATGCCTGTTCAAAATGTTGAACAACATGAATGTTACAATAGATGCCCATAATGTGTAACAAGTGTGTCCAGTTGTGCAGGGTGCAGGTTGTTGTGTCCAGTTGTGCAGGGTGCAGGTTGTTGTGTCCAGTTGTGCAGGGTGCAGGTTGTTGTGTCCAGTTGATTAAGTGATTAAGTTGATTTAATGATTAAGATTAAGATCAACTTAATTAAATCAACTTAATTATTAAGTTGATTTATTTGCAGGAGTGGCGCTTGTGAGAAGGAAGAGCCGCTGTCTCAACCACCAGACAAGAAGGATTTATAGAAGTAAACCTTGAATACTGTACATAAATGCTGTACTTTTACTGTATAGCTTCTATAAGCTTTACTGTATGGCTTTTACTTTATATAATACTGTACTCAAATGCTATACTTTCCTCTAGAGTCAGGAATATAGAAGTAACCCTCGAATATTGTACCTACACAAATGCTATTCTTTTTTCTAGAGTCAGGGATATAGAAGTTACCCTTAAATACTGTAGTTAAATGTTGCTTACAATATTCATTGTGAATTGTAATATTCATTTCAATTGCATTTACTCTTCGTTGCCTTTAAGTAATTCATCGTAAAAATTAGAGGTTCATTCAGTTTTCATTTAATAACAGTTATTTAGCATCAAGCTGTAATCGCCATCCGATTCTCATTACTTAAAATTACTAATCGTGAAGATGTAAAGTTCATTCACTTTCCATTGCATACAAATTATTCATCTTAAACATTAGAAACATTAAACATTATTCATCATTATTCTTAACATTATTCTTAAACATTATTCATCTTAAACATTAGAATTTCTTCACTTTTGTAGCGGGAGTAGCGTTCGTGTATGAGCGCCAGGTGCTGAAATTTATTAATAAAAACAAATGTACGATTTACCAAGATATGTTTTTTATGTGGTTATTATTTAGATCGTTTACTGTATGATAAGGAGAGTTGTGTCATGTCTGACGCGCTACAACTATCAGTCAGGCGGTCTTATATGCCTCGAGATAAAACAGACTGTTTTGTATTGCTTATTTAGAAAATATATTATTTAACCGGCCCCTTTTTATGTATTTCAGCATCCTTATTCAATGTAGGTATGTATCAGCATCCTTATTTAATTGTGATGCACCAGTCCATGTATATTTAACCTGAAAATATCTATTGCAATACGAACCTGCTAAAGTCAACCAAATATTGGGCGCCATGGTAACACGTGATGATGTTTCGTAATAAATACTGTACACAAATGCTGCTTACAATATTCATTGTGAATTGTAATGTTCATTTCAATTACATTTACTCTTCGTAGATGCCGGTAAAAAACTCGTGTGCTGGATGGAAAAACCCGTGATGCCAAACTTGGCCCTGCTGATGACGATAAGAATTAATCGTGGACGATAAGAATTAATCGTGGACGATAAGAACTAATCGTGGACGATAAGAACTAATCGTGGTTCGTGTATGTAACGGAACACCGCACGGGAGTACGTGGCACGTCCCAGGACGAGTCATGTACCTAGGGATGCTGGCAACACGTTCCCTCGGCCCGGAGTTTTGCTTCTTCAATTGTTAACAAAAAGTTCCGCGTCTCAGGACACGTGCCACGTACTTGGGAATGCTAGCAACTTGTCATGGTTGAGAATTAATAGCTTCGAAAAGTATTGATCGAAATGTTTTAGTTGCCTCGTGACAAAATTTTTTAGCCTTCGCCTTCCCCTAGACTAGAGTCTTCTGAATTCGGCAGTAATTGAGTAAATCTTTTGATCGTTTTCGTTCGTTGTCCGTTTGAAGAGGTTTCATTTGTTTTAAGTATGATTTCTTTTATTATATCTTAAAATGATTATCACAGCTATCCAGTAAGGTTCAAATTGTATGTTGTCTTTGATTAATGATTGAACTACACTCTATGGTTATGGATGTTATCGTATTTCATCCCATGTTCCTTTTCTCCATAGGTCACTTTACTTCCAAATTGTTGTGTTCTACACAATGTCTTTCAGGCTTCAGAAGTGCAATGCATGAAAAAATGAAACATTTATACGGACAGCCGCAGTGTCTCTTCACGATGAATACCGTACACTGATGCCTGTCAGTAAGTGCGTCGCTAACCTCTTCGGAAGGAAGGACTCTCCGCGTCCTACGACCTGGAAGGACTCTCCGCGTCCTACGACCTCGAGTATTCAAGTCGCCACCATGTCGGGTGCCCAGGCTTCAGCTGTCTCGGGCATCCAGGCCGCTCATGTTACGTATCCGCAGCCCCTAGAGGAGCTCTGGCATGTGAAGAAGGCGCTGCTGCAGCATGGCGGCCTGCTGCTGGACCAAGTCCTACTCGAAGACTTGCTTAGTTCCATCGACAGAAAGTTGCAGTCGCAGCAATCAGCCTCACATCAGACGGTTCGGAATGACGTGCCAATTGGTTCGTTGCACCAAACTGCCCCCGATTGCTTTGGATTATCTCAACTGAATGGGAAGAGCAAATTTCTAAATACTGAGCAGATTGGAATGGGCGGAGGAAACATAGTCTCATCCTTGGCATTTGAAGATTTGTGTGAGTTGGGCTCGCCATCGTTCCAAAAAAGATTGTCCAGTACACCGATGTCCAAGAAATTTGTTGCCTCAGATTTCGCCGTTCCATCGAATCTCGCGAGGAATTTAAATGACTCCCTGAGCATGAGCGAGATTTCGGGCCCTCAAAGTAGTTTCGCATCCCCTCTCAAGAGCTCCGCTTGGGACACAGAATCTATGAGCTTCAATAGTCGGGCAAGATCTTGTTTCACGGTAAAACAAATCTCGAGCGGAGCCTGTGCTCCCAATGCAGGAGCTCCTTCAGCGGGAACATCTTTAAACTCAGCCAATAGTTTGGCTTCACAGTGTCATGATCCAATACAAGCGGAAGTTTTTCCTGAAGTTCACGCTAACGTTAGACGGGATTCTGACCATTATACTCAAGCGCTCTTGAGTTCGAAAAATAATACTAAGCAAACCGATCCTCTGTCATCGAACCACCTCATGGCCGCTACAATAAATAATCCTACCCGTGGAAACCCAGAGTGTCCTCGGTTTGCTCCTTCTACTCCTGCCACGACATCTGCTGGAGTTATCGTCGGTGGCGCCAAATCAAGCGACGCACTATCCTGCACTGCCCCCTCGACGGCCTCCACCAAACACGTGGCATTCCTTAGCCCACCGGACATTTTATCGTCCGTAGGAGACGTGAGTGATGAAAGCGAAAGTTTTTCGCGCTGTGATTCTCAAGCCACCATCAGTGGCCCTAGTATTGTGAGCGAGGTGGCCAAGCCGGAACAACACCTCGACATTCCTGGTACTGTTGAGTACAAATCTAACCCTGCTGAGGCAATTGGAGGCGAAGATGAACGAAAAACGATGAAGTTCTGCCCAACCCTTGCAAAGAATGAGCGCGGTACCGTCCCCAAGATCTTGGTTGGCAATGATTTTCTTCGCGAAATCGATTTCAGAGGAGCTGATCCCGCACCAGTTTCTGGAAGAGAAGAAACATTCCACAGGACTTCTCCTCAGTCAAAGCTCGTCACTGGATGTCAGACTCTAGTAACTCTACAACGAGCTAGTGCTGAAAATATAGAAAATATCCACTGTGTGCGTACGGTAGTTGAAAGCTATCATAGTCACCACCCTGAATTTGCCAGTCCTGAGAACACCGCCTGTGTTGACTCTTGGCACACACGTCCAGAAACTGCCGCCTCTCATCCTGCAGACAATAGAAAAACCGAATATAAATCCAAAAGAAACAGAAGTCCCGGTATGGTCCATGCTAAACCGGACTTGACCACCAACTCTGGAATGCCAGAGTCCGTGGAAATTCCCACAAAGAGTCCTGGACAGAACCATAATGCAGGTTCTCCGGATGTTGTGACGAGTGAAGAATTTGTCGCAATGGGCAGTGTCCCGGCACCGGGAGCGCCTGAGCCTAACGTCGAGGACCTGTTGGGCGCCCTGCACTACGAGCAAGCGAGGAACAGCTTCCTGCTGGAGAGTTTGGTCCAGATGCAGCAGCGCTGTGCCAGGGCCGAGCAGCTACAGGTGTGTTCACGTTCTGCATTCGAAATTTACTCAATTTACTCATCTCCATCATCATGGTAACTTGGAACTCAAAGTTATATACAGCAGCGTTTTTTATTCTGGTTGTGACTGCATGCGCGCGCTGCCGTTGCGCAAAACCTGCCTGCGCTATGAACAATACGACATTACTAGAACCTGTTCGCTGCGCTATGAATAACACATTCAACATTACTTGAACCTGTTCGCACAAATATTAATTGCAATTTTAATTGTTTTTATTCATCAGAGAGCAGCCTCGGCTGAAGCTGCAGATCTGCAGGTGCAGCTGAAAAGGTTGTTGTCGCTGCACTGCTGCCGGGCGTCTGAGGTGACTGCGCTGCGTGAGGTACGATATTGCTGGCAATAAAAGGCCCATGGCGTCTCGACTGCCCTTACATGATTTGTTGTACGTATGTATGGTCAAAGCTTTGAACATTCAGCTGCATTGCAATTCGAAATATAAAGAAAATGAATATCCGAACTATATGGCTAAATGAATATCCTCGCTCTTTATCGTATATATATTTAGAAGCTGGTTGGTTTCATTTTTCATGTTACTTTCATTAATTGCCAATGGTTGAAAAATGTTATTTAGTGCATGCATTTGAAATGTATCTATTCTTAAATAAAACCGGGTAATGGCACTAATGGATAAACCTCATGCTGCCTTTCAAGGATTTGAAATCTTGTTTGTCTGCTGAAGTAAAGTCGTTTCTTATAGTTGTCTGGATTATTAAGTTTATCTTTATAATATTTTATTCATATATTATTTCTATACCAACAGGGAAACTTGGATTCGTCCCTGGCTCGAGATTCCATCCACCCCTCCAATGGCAGCCACTGCCGAAGTTTGGGATCGATTCTAAACGATCGAAGCTACCACAGTAATTGGATATCAGTTCTATTAAACGATTATCCTTGCTCCGGTCGACCTGATGGGCCTCAGTCGAATGTTCGGACGGAAAGTTACCCCTTTAACCCTACGACTGATGGGCCGCAGTCGAATGTTCGGACGGAAAGTTACCCCTTTTCCCCTAGAACTGATGAGCCCCAGTCGAATGTTCAGACGGAAAGTTACCCCTTTTCCCCTAGAACTGATGAGCCACAGTCGGATGTTCAGACGGAAAGTTACCCCTTTTCCCCTAGAACTGATGGGCCCCAGTCGAATGTTCAGACGGAAAGACCTCCAATGCTTGAGAATGCGTTCCATGAGACCAATTTTAGAAGTACGGGTGAAAATGATGAAGAATGCTCCGTCACAGTCTATAGTATTAGACATAACATCTTAAAGACTTCTCGAGGACAAGATTTCTCTTCACTCTCTGAAGATGTTGACGGTGTTCGAAAATTTAATTTCGATGCTAACCGCGTCAGTTGTGAGAATTATGTTAGTAATTATCCAGTGGACCTCACTGGCCTCAGCGTGGCAACATGTGATATCGATTCCAATACAGAGACAACCAAAGTAAACGCCTTCGACGTCAAACCCGACGTTGTTGACAGCAACCCTCCACACCTGGATTCACAAATTTCTACCCAAGAAGATAAATTAGAAACAAAAGATGATAGAGAAATGTTGGATCCTGCTATAGACTTATCGCTCAATGATTCAGACTCGGACGGTGACTCGCCAGCTTCCAGTTGCTGTTATGACTTTAGCCACAACGATGGCAATGAAACTGTGCGCGGCAAGAGCGGCCCTGCAGGTTGCACCAAAGATCGTTTTGACGACAACTATGACTTTGTAGGCAACAGCGATCCTGTAGACGACAACAACGAGCCTGTAGACGATAACAACGATCCTGTAGACAACAACAATGACCCTGTAGACGATAACAACGATCCTGTAGACCACAACAATGAACCTGTAGACCGCAACAATGACCCTGTAGACCACAACAATGACCCTGTAGACCACTACAAAGATCTTGTAGACCACAACAATGATCCTGTAGACCACTATAACGATCCTGTAGACGACAACAATGATCCTGTAGACCACTACAACGATCCTGTATACTTGGCGCCGACGAACGTCGCAGCGGACGTGGCTAATCGGTTGACATTCGATATAGAAACTCGCTGTGAATCGTGCAAACAGAACCACGGCGGCGTCAAAAGTTGCTGCGCAGGTTGCATCCTGGTGTTGCATCCAACTGAGAACCCGCGTCACTTTGGCAAAGAAGTGGATTGGAGTGACCAAGATAGAGGCCACTCGTCGGAACGTTCTTATAGGAATTTATTTCCTGAAGAATGCCAAGCGACGGATGAAAATGGATACCAGTCTCTGCCGACCCTCCCCCAAGCAAGGGACCTTTCCCTTGAAGCCCCTCTGGTTATTGAACAATTGTGCCAAACACTTCGTCCGTTCAGTGCAGAATATATTTCTTTGATGGAATCTAATATGAATTCAGCAAATAATTTGAATGCAGATAGTTTCAACACCCACGAGACTACACGAGATTTTATCAATAACTGTCCGTCTTCCGAAGACCTTCCTCCTGAGAGTAGAAATCTTGATAATTCAGTTGAGCGTGAACGTGCATCAACTAAGGAAATTCCACTGCCGCCAAATTCCAAGGGCCATGCGAGTTTCCAGGAAGGTCAGGAGGATGCACACTTACTGCGGGATATCCCTTCCATCACTGCACCGCAAAGTGTTCTTGACCAGCAGAATTTAACCGATCAAAATGTTGCTCGTGTGTCGCACACAGGAAATTTTATCGAAAATCCTACGTTTGGGTGCCCAGCTTCGGCAACCACGGGCGCACAGCGACAAAGCGTGCGAGGTGACGGGGTGCATCTTGCATGGAAGGGACCCAAGACTTCCACGTCTTCCGCCTCTGCTGTCCAGAAATCTTCATCCATTTCGAGAGTTCTCCAAGAACTGGACGAGGAGAAAGAGGCCCTCCTTGAGGAGCTAAAGAAAGTGCGTGGTTGTCTCGGGTTAGCCTAAATGTGGTATTCTGATGCCTCCATGAGAGGTGGCCTGACTAGCATCTGCTTATGCATGAAGTACCAGCAGGACTTCTTATACAATACACTACACCGCCCCTTACATTAAACAATACACTACACCGCCCCTTACATTAAACAATACACTACACCGCCCCTTACATTAATCAATACACTACACCGCCCCTTACATTAATCAATACACCGTCCCTTACATTAAACAATACACTACACCGTCCCTTACATTAATCACTACACCGCCCCTTACATTCTATCACTTGCCTCTTCAAGGCGCAGTCCACTTCACTAAATGATTAAATGTGTCAACAAATGCTATTGTCTTTCCCAATTTCATCATCTTCGTTGATAAATCGATTACATGCTAATGGCAATTTCATATAGTTAGTTGATAAATAAATCATGTTCTACGCAATTTCATATTCTTCGTTGATGAATCAATTAATTACTACAGGTCGAGTCCAACCTTCACCTACCAATCCTTGTTATCACCGACTATATTTTAGTACTTATATTATCAGTCTGCTTATATCGCAAGTTCACAAGGAGGAGGAGGGCCTCTCTAAATAGTGAATCGCTAGACTTTTATATTCTTTTCGTGATCCCTAGGACTAAGTTATTCCAATCGAGTCCTGTTTCTTCGATATAAGTTAGGTCTTGTTAGGTTTTATGTCTGTCTTAGAATTTTGATATAATAATATGATTTTATTCATTTTTAGCTTTTTGAACTGTTGATGGAGCTGGACTCCGAAATGTTTTCAATATCGATATGGTGAATTTGCTTGGTGTTTTCTCCACTATATTTCACTTATATGATTAATTGCTAAACTTTGTTGCACGTTTCATTGCGCGTGCTCTCCTGCAGGTCACAGTCGTCGGTGGTGCGCCGCAGGCCCGCAGACGTCGGCCAAGAACAGCGCGGTCTCGGGCGCCTGAACCTCACTGTTAGAAAAAACGGTGAAATGGTGTTTCTTTTCACGTGCTGACCGGCCACTGAAACGCCGGTATTACCGTTAACGGTCATTTTTCTAACAGTGCTGCTGCCTCCGCCCCTTGAGTTTTGTTCAATAGGTCGGATGATATTTAGCGCTGCCATATTATATATTATCGATGCAACTAGAAAATTAAAGAGTTTTGTTCAATAGGTCAATATCAAGCGCTGCAATATCATGTATTATGGATGCAAAGTGCCCCGACGCCTGCACCAGCATCATCATGCGGTGCAGGCTTTATGTCTTTTGTTTTATGTCTTTTGTTACAAAAACTCAATTCATGGCGTTGAAGAACCTTCACTTTGCTTGTGTACTCGAAGCGTCTTGATAATATGACAAAATTTCCTTTGTATACCTCAAGTCCTACAAAAAGTAAAAGTACAGCAATACCTTTACGTAACTGGACTATTAAAAGTTTTCAGATTCTAATGCAACAGCGCGCACCATGAAATTGAAGAACTCGGTATTCCAGCCCGTCGAGTCGCAGCATCTGCACCCCATATGATGACGTCGACGAGAAATGTGATCTATTATATCGACCAACTTCTGGCGGTGGTAGCGTGTATTGCTGTAGTATAGATTCCAATACTAAGACGACCCCCGTCACCAATTAACCGCATCTTATTCATCTAAAATTGACCGCATCTTATTCGTCTTATGTTCAAGACTGCGTCGATGACGCGACCATGCAGTTATTTGCTGTAACCAATTGCTGACCTGGGGCCATCCTTTCAAAACTCGCTAAGTTAACGTAAGTACTTACGCTCTATTTTCTTGTCTATGATTGGTGGATTTTGCTTGAAAGGCCGTCAATGATTGGCTGATGAACTTACGATCTCTTAACTTTTTTGAAAGTATGGGCCCTGCTCTTCTTGCATGTCAATAATCGCTCGGTATTTGCAAGAAATCATAAGCCTCGATCTCGTTGTTTGGCTACATTTTTTGCTACCGATTGAGCCCTATTAGCTGGAGAAGCATTGCCCTCAACCTGGGAATTCCTTATTTATTATCCCGGACATTCGTGATTAGTTATTTTTTGTGTACACGGAGAATGTAAATGAGCATAGAATTTGATGTGAAAAGATCTCTCTGCACTGATGTATAGCTCTTAAGCAGTTCAAATGTTGTAGTAATTCGACAAAATAGCGATATTTAGGTTAGCCAAGCCGTCGTCTTTTAACCGCACAAGCTTGGTGGTGTTGTCGACCTACCGCTGATTGACCGATAGGAAGCTATGTTACGCGTGTGTCCTGGTTATGCCATGGGTTTTCAACGTATTGTAAACGAAATTACATTCCAATATTTTTCCTTTCATGTAGAAAATATGTTTAAGAATTGAAAATTTTTTCCTTTGTTTTCGAAGGCTCAAACCCTACAACTGTGTTATTTCCTACGTTAATCCAGTACTATTGGGCTGAAGTAAGGAAAGGGAAGTAGAGTTCGAGAAGGTTTCACGACCTTTTATTTCAATAATAGAATGGCAATACAGAGCGGCTGCTGGTATCAAATTAAGGCGCTTATACACGGGGCTAGTATTAAGGTGCTTGTACACGGGGATAGTGCAGACGGCTAGNAATCCATCGTCAGCTATGGAAAGATCGGGTTCCAAAGGCCGGATCCCTTGTGAATCAAGTCACGAAAAATTCAAGAATCGGCAACAGGCCATGGGCCTATTTCTTCAGCGCCGACACTTCTATTCTATTCTATTCTAAATACAGTCGATAAACAATAGCTCGCTGCACTCCCCTCGAGCGTAAGAAATTAGTTGCACCTGTTAGATGGCGCCAGTGAAAATTCCAGAAACATTGCGGTAAAATATGCCCACCGCGTATCTTATAGAGGAGCGTAGATGCGTCGACGTATAGTACAATGCAAGTCATAATTAAATATATTTTCTACAGTCAGATACTCAAATTCTAGGTTCATCGAAAAAACGTAGCTTTGAGCAAATGCAATGAGCTGTTACCAAGTAGCCTACTTAGACATAACTTTTTCTACCTTGAACTACAAAAGCTACGTATTCAATTTACTCGAAACTAACATTATGAGGATGGCCTTATCCCCTACAAAATAATTAGATCACAAAAGAATTTCATGATAACCTAAAAATTGGTTTAAAATATATAGAACTAAATGTCTGATTAGAATATGAGTTTCAGTTCAAATTTTGTTTGTCCGTGATTGAAGTAAATATTTGTCGATAGCACAGCTTCCTAACGAGGCTGAACTTATAGTTACATAAACGATCGTCATTCTCGGTTCTTCACAACAAATGTAATTTCATTTACAGCAAAAACAGATTCCCTCATAAAGGTTCGCTAATTTTGATATTTGTATGAACGACGCACACAAGAGAAATTCATATTTCACGAGGATGTCGTCACAAGCATTATAGCCTCGTACAGTTCATTGACATGAGGCTGGCGCATCAAACGTATGTAGAAATGTACATTTCTATAGCAATCACTGTTATTTACCAAATTTTGAAGGCAATCATCACTTAAAAACTTTTCAGTAATAGGCAATCATCAAAATTATAACAAAAACTTTTCAGTAATAATTTGGCCAGCCTAGTTGTTATCGAAGCGTATTTTCAAAGAATACATATATTATTAAACGATGATCGAAATGCTTTGGGTTGAGTAGATCCTTAGTATTAAGGCAGCAACGTCGGTCCAAATTCCGATGAATTTCAGGCTGATGGCTTCACAGGTCGCTCTCTCCAGGTCCAGCCGCTGTAAAAGTTATCATCTTTAATCATTCGGCACAAATAAATCATAGGAATTAGAATAGAATAGAAGTGTCGGCGTTGAAGAAATAGGCCCATGGCCTGTTGCCGATTCTTGAACTTTTCGTGACTTGATTCACAATGGATCCGGCCTTTGGAACCCGATCTTTGAGAATTGAGATGAAATATTCGAACGATTGCCTGAAATCAAGATCCATGAACCTATGATCTTACTAATTTCATAGAGATATGTAAAAAAAAAGGAATTCTCCAGAACTTATTTTGTGTCTACAACTTCCATACTCAACAGTAAGTCTCGACTAAACAAATAATTAGCAAGAATTGAAGGCTTATAAAGCAAGGGTCTGCACTCACCAACTGGGAAACGGCACACTGCATGGGGCGCTGAATGTGAGGCTCACAAACACGAACAGTGAACAGTGAATGAACGCTGAATTTGGGGCTGACACGAACGGTGAACAGAGAATGAACGCTGAATTTGGGGCTGACACGAACGGTGAACAGAGAATGAACGCTGAATTTGGGGCTGACACAAACGGTGAACAGAGAATGAACGCTGAATTTGGGGCTGACATGAACAGTGAACAGAGAATGAACGCTGAATTAGGGGCTGACACGAACGGTGAACAGAGAATGAACGTTGAATTTGGTGCTGACACGAACAGTGAACAGAGAATGAACGCTGAATTTGGGGCTGACACGAACGGTGAAGAGAGAATGAACGCTGAATTTGGACCTCAGGTAAGAACGGCGAGGGAGATGGAGAGGCGTTCAGAAAAGGAATGTACGGAGATAAAAGGTAAGAGAAATTGCACGAGGGGTTTGTTGTCGTGAGTAAAGGGAATATTGTGTATCAAATTGATGACAACAAAAAAAATGAAATAATGAAATGACCATAGCATAACAAGGATTGACTGTCTATCTAATTATTTCATATGTTTGAGAGCTAAACAAAAAATTAAATCAATTACCAAACGGAATGAAAAAATCGTTTATTCTCAAACAAAGGCCGATAAAAAACATAAATGAGCAAATGGAGTTAAAAGCACAGCATCACATTAATTAATTCAAACGCCGCAAAAAAAGTAGAAGCATATTAGCCATGAAAACAGAAATAAGCGAAAACAATAAAAAGCGTTCGTTAGCATTGGCCTTCTGTTATTAAGTTCTACTTTGTACATCCTGGTTTAAGCCTGTGTTAACCGTCGGTATGTTAAGTTACTGTAGCTGGTCCGTTCAGACTTTGTATTAATGTAATAAAAATATTTAGAAATTTAGTATTAGATTTAATTTTAATAATAAGATTTGTTTATAGCTGAATGTAACCACAATGAATATGACAATAGCCAACTTCATTCCAGCTTTTAGTATTTTGATTCATTACACTAGAACCTCTTATTAGAGGTTCTATACTGAGACCAGAAAAAGCGTCTTTTACAACCCCAAACATGATCGTGATGTGCTTTATTACCAGGCCTAGTACGAATAGCATTGGCAACGGTAACCGTTGACGGCGAGTGTACTCCTCTATAACTCTTCAGTTGATTTGCAGTAGAAGTTTGAGCGACGTTGGGCAGTTAAGTTTCGTAAATTGTTAAAATTAAATTTTAACTATTTTTAAATTTAAAATTTAAAAAATTTAACAACAACCAAGGTCGCAGCCGCGGTTGTTAACCAGAGGTTTTTGGGTGTTTTATATTGGTTAAGAATCTATTCTTCGTCGCATCAGCTACAAGATATGGAACGTGAAGTGCTTGCTCAGGACACTCGTGAAGGAATGTAGTCTCGTGAGACGAAAGAACCAAATAAAGGAGTCTAGCTAATTATAAGTAAATTATCTAGTTGATAATAAGAGCTAAAATATACGTAACTACATAAAATTGGCTTCTAGAGCTTTAATTTTTAATAAGTAAGGAATACGTAAGTTTTATTGTTAAATCAGTAATAAGGACTGAACGGTAAGTTAAGTAGGCGACGGTTAGTTAAGTAGGCGACGGTTAGTTAAGTCACGACTACCTGTAGCTCGGTCAGACGTACGCTTTTAAACGATACATCAGACGTTCGCCTCAAAATAATATAACAAACTTCAAAATTATTCATTTTTAATATCAGTATCGCATCATATGTAAATAATTGCGGAGATGAAGGCACAAGAAAGCCGAGCAAATACATGTATGTACAAGCATTATTATACAATTGTTAATGCATAAAATACTGATTATTCATGAGATGATTCAATTCAATCTTAGGTTAATTGGATTTTAAATACCTAATCAGATCCATAGTTGATTGTGACGATATTGTAGAAATTTTATGAAATTCCAGATTTGAGTTATCTTATATCCGAAGCTCATATCGATGTCGAATGTTCGGTATTCGAGTACAAAATTTCAGTAACCCTTCTTCGACATAACTTATTTTCGTTACCATAATTTAAACTAAAGAAAAATAACTTGTTACAACATCAGAAATCTCTGACTGCATTCAACATGGAATGCCCTGGCTGACGCAACCTCCGCACGTTTTCCAAGTGCTAACAATTAGAGAAGATTTAGCCACTAGAATTTATTTTCTTGCTTGCAGCACGGACGGGTGGCTGGCGTAATTTTCTTGCAGCATCCGGAAAGTCTTGCCAGGAATGCGCTGACCAACGTAGGGCTTCGAGTGGATGGGATCTCCCTCTTCCGTGATCTTCAGACTGGTAAGATCGTGCGGATCGACACGTGCGTTTGATTCATCATCTTTGTATTGCGTTTGCAAAATATTGAAAGAAGGGGAGTGAAATCTCGACGTTTTAGACCGATTATCTAAAGAATTTTTGCGCGGATAGTCTTCATTTTTCTTGAGTCCGTTGGTATCGCTCATGTTAGGTTCTGAGTCATTGTCATCCTCCGGACTGTCGTAAGTTTGCTGCAAGTAACGGAAAACCTTTCCTGGCGCAGCTCTGGGTTTTTTACGTTCTGATGATTCAAATTGTGTGGTCAATTCCTTGAGGACAGACTCTTTTCGAACTGCCGTATTGGCCATTCCGTTGTTGTGGTATTCGTCCAACTCAACGCGGAATGTCGACACACAAGAGGCGTCACCGCCGTTGTGACTTATATTGTCATTTTGCAGTTTGTTTTGGTCGCTCTGCAGGAGTCGAAGCAAGCCTGCAGACAACTCTGGTTTGTCGATTTTGACGGAAACTTTGCAAGGAGTAGGATTGTTAGCCGAGGGCGTTTCGGATGAATCTGAAAATTCAGATTGTAGTTGTCTGAAAACACGTGAGGGAATATGTGCACCATCGTACAGCTTCTTCGGCTCCTTGTCGAGCCTTCCGTTAGAGTTGGCATTAGCAGCGGCTTCTTCACTGAGGAACTTGCGCAGCCGTGACTGGTCCTCTGCCAGGGGACTTGGTCCCCTCGGTGAGTCAGCGGTACTGGCATTCGAAGTGCTGACGTGCCACCTAGACGGGGACGCTGCCCTTTGCTTCGAGAGAGCTGAATTCACAATTTTGGGTTGTGAAAGATTGCTGACGACGATATGGGGTGCAACGGTTTTGTACGTCTGACCTGACAGCGGCTGTGAGTAGCTAGCAAAACCGTTAGTTTTATTAGAGGAGTTCATTTCAACAGAGGATGATGAATTAGAAGGACGATAAGTGACAGGTGAAACGGAAGGAGAGAAGGATGTTGGATGAGGCGATGTTGTGCTGGGTCGGGTCACTTCCGCGTCTGAAGCAAGAAAAACACCATGCAAAAATCAAACAATTTTGTCACCATCTCTTGAACAAAGTTCAGCATCAAAGCGTCATCAAGAAAATCTTTCCATAGACAATTTTATATCACGATTGGAAGATTGAGTTGATAAACTGTTTCAGCTCAGACAATCAGAAGAGCGATGTATTCAAGAGCTCGCTGGAATACCGTACATCAACTGTCAACTTGTGCATACAAGTGTCAGAAAAATGTGTATGCGCAAGTTGAAATGTGTTTTGTGTCTCCGAAAAATCACTGCGATCTTGGGAGAAAATTATTCTTTTCTACAGATTTTTAGATTTTACTTTCCAGACTAGTCATAAATTTTTATAAATGAAAATTTGACATTAAATATTGAATTCAAAATTACATGCTTATCCTAGTAGTCTAAAATCTTTCTTCTTGATTACTCATGAGTAAATCAATCAAATAGAAGAAAATCAATCATGTAATAATGAAAAATGAATAATACAGTTCCAAGCTTCAGTATCAGAATCAGTTAAGATTTTTGATCGTCTTACATTCACATTTGATAAAATTTTTCAACTTAGGCACTGCGCAATCATAGATTGCCTGCCTCGGAAAATCATATCTCAAAGGCTGCCTTGCAAACTTAGGGGCAAAGTAGCAGAAAAATTCTGAACTAAAGAACTATTTTATGCCAACAATTTTCTAGTTGAGAGAAATAAAATATTAAAGTTACTTAGTAAAACTGATGCGTACATTTTTTATTCAATATGATTAAATTTTAACTAATGTTTGTGATGTTCAAGAAGTACTTTTGCGTACTAAAGAGAACATTTATTTAGAATTAAAACGAAAATATTGGCTTTCAATAAAAAACGCAAAGTTCAGAATATACTAAGATAAATGTTTTAGGTCGTTTTCGAGCACGTTTTAGGTTGTTTCTTCTTTTGCTGTTAGTGAAAAAACGGCAAAAACGCAAAACTCTTTCTCTGGTAAAAAGCAAGTAAAAAAACATTACGAAAAATTAAAAATATAAAAACTCAACAAACAAAAACTTCAAAAGCGAAAAGCTGAGCGAAAACGAATATTTATTATTACGAATATTATTTATAACGAATATTATTAAATAAAACAAAAATAAAGCTGAGCGAAAACGAGAAGCAGGGACACTCAAATATAAGCAAACAACCTTACCGCGCATCATCTGTAATTATTAGCAAGGCACTGTACAATTTTACTTATTTTGTTGCAGCGATAAGAGTTTATAACTCCATACATTTATAACACTTCTTGGATCATTGTTTTTTTATGCAACTTCCTCTAACCACCTTTTTTCCGTCCGAAACAAGTGCGTATATCCATCCAACTCACTGCATAGTGCACGAAGGACGACACTCATGATTCGCTCTGTAAAGTATACTCAGTAATGAACTTTTTATATATCTCACCATTATATATGCCGTCAGTGTGCTGCTGTAGAGCACGGAAAGTTCGCGACGGTATCGCGTTGCTGCTCTCGCCTGCGAACAAAGTTCGTGTGCGTCAATTAAAGGAAACAGTTTTTTTCCTTTCTTTCTTTATCATTTTCTAAATTTTATTTACTAAAATTTATTTCCATGTAATTCCAGATGTATTTTACTAGCTGATGATGTGCATAGCCCGAAACGTTCTGTTTTATTCATCTAGGACTTTTATTCAGTAAAATGTTTTATGCAACTTTTTTGGTTTTGGCCTTTATTCTTAAACTGAGGAAGCAGCTTCGTTATAACCAACTCTTAATCAAGTGACAGATACTAAATATTTCATATTTTTTCATAATATTATAAAATAATATGCTAACGCCGAGCCCTTGATGATCTGCACAAGTGAGTTAACAGTTAAAAATCAAGAGCAATGTTCGGGGGCAACGTTGTTGTGTTCCAGAGAAGCGAAGGGGCTTCTCTGGAAGAGAAGCCCCTTCCAGAGAAGTTACTTAAGGAAGAAGAGAAGAGAGAAGTTACTTAAGGCTAAGAGAGAAGCAAAGAGGCTTCGTCTTTGGTTGTAGCCCAAACATAATTAATTTTCTCTTGTTAATATGAGAAGAAAAAAACTGGTATAGCAACAGAAATCATAATTAATGCCCCAATAAGGTCGAAAAATTCCTGACAAGCAATAAAAAAATGCAAGAAATAAATGTATCGCAATTTGCATGGGTAGAATGTTACGCCTATTTGATGATTAAAAAATAGCGATCTAGTAAAAAACTAATCTGGATTGAATCCCATAAGTAATGGCGAAAGATTTTATAAAGCTTATAAAAGGTAGTTTAGGTTAGATACAGATAATTATTTATATCTTCAATAGGTACCAATTATCGAATCATCATATTAAAGCTTTTACAATGGATTATTCTTATTGATTGATGTTTATATATTTCGAATAGCAGCCCATCCGAGCATGCGAAGTTTCTGTGAGCCTTATTTTTCTTTCAAATGCATGTCATAAAAAGTATTTTTGGTGTAAAGTTTTTACTTTTATCTTTATCAACTATATAAAAACACTTACAGAAAACGAAACGCTCGCTATAAGAACAAAATCAGCACAAACTTAAACAAACTAAAAGTAAACAAAAACATACGAAACGCCCATGCACTAAAACACACAAAGCGCTTATTTTTGAAACTTCAGAACGCTTTTTTGAACCCTCAGAAGCCACAATAAACCCTCGGAAGTTTTAGTAACAATGAACACATGGAACACAACATGGAAGAAGTAGAAATATTTTTACAATAAGGTACATACAAACCATGAAAGAAGCACAAATATTTTTACAATAATTCATGCCACTTACCGTAAGGTAGAAAGAGACAAAATTATTTGGGTAGAAATATGAAATGATAATATATTTTGGTGTATTTTGAAATGAATTCAATTGCTTTCAGTAATAATTACGCAGAAAATATTTTTTTATCATCAGATAATTGATACCAAAAGTCTGTTGTCTCCAAAATTGTTTCGCACATCTGACAATAAATTTAACAAGAGACGACATTTTTTATAATGTTTATAAACAGCTGCTTCTACTGCTGTCAAATTCAAAATTTCAAGGTGTGTCTTGAGACGGAGATTAAAGCTGCTTCTTAAATTTAAACAATTCAAGGTACTTCTACGTCAGAGGTTTATACTGTGGTTAAAGTTCGATTCACTTTTTATTTATTTTCTCCTTTATTATTTTCAAACCAGGGACAAAAAGCAGGCTTTTGTTACAGAAAATAGAAGTACGAACATGACACTCTTGCATTTCTCTGATAAAACCATTGAGAACATGAGAAATTCTCAATGACAATTATGAGCAGTCACGATACTAGGTAATTTACTAGGGAACTCTAATCCGTGCCGAAAACTCGGATTTACTCGATCAAAAATTCGCACACCCGGGGACATTTCTAGGACAGAACACGTACATGCTTATTTCGTACGTTTACTTTCACACAGATAAGTGTTCAATTGTATACCTCGGAGGCATTCATCGGGGTAAGTTGGACGGGGTCGGACCAGAGGGGACTCAACAAAATTACTTTGTCTTTGGCCGCGCCCTTTTGAACCTCCTGTAAAAGTTTTGGACTGCGCCGTTTGGTAGCTAAGAGGCGCTCCCTGGTTCATGAGCCCACGAATTTCGTCGTCAGATCCTGTTTTTATGACCGAGCAAACCGTTGTGTAAAACAAAAGGAAATTTAAAAATGTAGTTATTTGGCCACAAGTTTACTAGCGCTTAAGCTATTAAGATTTCTCACACCGGAAGTCAAGCATAAACATCACCAACGAGGTAGGTGGACTCAATTGTTGCAAATTTCTTAGATCAAAAAATGCTTCATCGCCCACAAGTTATGGAAGATCTCAAATGGCAGGCCTGCTGTAGGGTGTATGAAAGAAGCAACGATAGCATCTTTAAGAGACGAAGTGACAAGAAGATACAGGAAGAAAAAAAAAGCAACAAAGGCTCTCGTACAAGATGTCGCTAACACGGTACGTCGGCCGCACGCGAGAGAGTGAGACAGAGAAGGGAAATGTAAGGAATCCTACCTACATAATAACGTAATGTAAGGAATCCTACCTACATAATAACCTAATGTAAGGAATCCTACCTACATAATAACTTAATGTAAGGAATCCTACCTACATAATAACTTAATGTAAGGAATCCTACCTACATAATAACTTAACCCCACAACTGAGACCTGCAGTCAGACACCGCGAGCTCAGCGGTGGGGCGCTCAGGAACAATGTCCCTAGCAACGCAAAATCCCTTTGTACAGAAGACTAGCAAAGACACAAGTCAGAAGGCCCTCTGAGGGTCATATTAAACAAAAAAATCTGTAGCGACTAAGAATATATCTAAATTAGGTAGTATTTCAAACAGAGTTTGCTTCCTGTACGCAGCGTGATAAAAAATAAAAGTGTTGAGTTCAAAAGGACATGAAATATTCAAGGAAGGTTCTAACTATAGAGGCCATAGTAAAGATTAAACTTTCTTCAAGACTCGCCTGATGCCTCGTTAAGAGAGAACATGAAATAAGAACATGAAATATTAGAGGAAGGTTGTAACTATAGAGGCCATAGTAAAGATTAAGCTTTCTTCAAGACTCGCCTGATGCCTCGTTAAGAGAGAACATGAAATAAGAACATGAAATATTAGAGGAAGGTTGTAACTATAGAGACCATAGTAAAGATGAAGCTTCCTTCAAGACTCGCCTGATGCCTCGTTGTCGACCACCTGCTGCAAGACTCGGAAGGAGCGAGACTGCACGGGGGCGCACTCAGGGGCCGCCGCTGGTCCAGGGCTGTCGCAATCAAACATAATTTACTTAGATCTATATAGCTAATATAATTAACAGTAATTTGTGTTCCATCTCATTATCTATAAATGTATTTGAGTGATTTTATATAAAAGAAAAGTTTTGATCGATAACTTTGATTTCAAATTACTTCCATCGAATTAAATTTATGCATGTATACATTACGAATTAAATTGCGAAGATAACTTTTTTAAGAGTTTAACCTCGAATACGAAAACAATTCCGGTATTATTGTGTTAAATGCAATTCTTTGATTTCAAACACATCATTCTAATTACATGACCACAGTTACTTTAGATCCAAGCTGTAAAGCTGTTCAAAAACGTGGCATAGCATCAATCCTAAGTTGTTACTCTTGCGCTATGGTGAAAAATCAACCTGACTATACAATTACAGTTTACACTTATTAGTTAAAGATCTCACACGATGATGTTGCATTGCGTAATGTCCTTGCATTTTTGTTTGTTTTAATAAAATTGATAAACCAAGGTTCCATCCAACGGTCATTTCAGCAGCACTCAATTTGTACACAAAAAACGTTACCTAACACACTGAGTAACAACTGGGGTAAATCGGTAATTTTTTCCAGCCGTAGGATGGATCTGGCATAAAGATATTCCGAGTCCACCAGATCAACAGTCACGCTAGTCATTAGGATATTTCCATGCCAGCCTTTCATTAAAAAAAAAAACAAGCTCATTTTTATGTAACAACAATTAAAAAATTTAACAGTCACACGGAACTGTTCTATTTATTAATAAAAATGTACAAGCAAACAGCAAGCAGTTTGATCCCAAGTTTTTATTTGACAACTTGAAAATAATAAAAGCAGTTATATAAGAATGGTGAACTAAGCATTTTTTTAGTATTCGATACGGAGCTCATTACATAGACCTTAGGACATGAGATTGCTCAGGTAACAAACGAAGTACCCGGAGTTTGTTTAGAGACACCAACCAAGGCCATGCTGGCAGAACTATCCTCGACTTTGAATACCTCGACTTTATTTGAATTTTCAGTTAAAAGAATATAGGAGCCTCCGTGTCATGCTTGACACAACACATAAGCGGTAATATCTATGGAGAATATCATTTCAAACATTCAAACATTAATTAGTGCATATTAATTTGAACACTATGGAAAATACACACTATATTTACCAAAAAACACGACACTCGGCAACCGAAGCTTCTGGCACGCTTTCAAATTAGGACAAACAAAAGCAGTTCGATGTTAGTTCTAAGAGAGCATTCTTTTCTAGCACTCCAAAAATGAATTAATCAAAACAATTAATGACTAATTATGCGATGAAGGAATGAGATAATTAATGCAATATTGTCGTAGGAAAACCCTCTGAAATAGTGGCGGGTGGTAAGGTTTTCAGCTGGACCGCGATGACGTCGCAGAACAGAGGAAAGGCGGCTATAGGTGGACTACATTGCACGCAGCGCGGGAGAACGCGCACGAGACCAAGAACATAAGGGTACGCACACAGTGAGAGCAGGTTGCCAGCGTGCTGGTTACCTGCTCAGGCTGGCGCCTGAAACCATAGGATACAGAAGCCTATTCGTACAGGTTTTCACTGTGAACACTTACATTATTATCCTATGTTCATTCTTGTGGCAGGTTGGAGCAGGTTGCCCGCGCGGGCAAACCTACTTTCACTGTGTGCGTACCCTAACGCCCCTTGCAGTAGGTTCAGAATTTAAACTACGTCTGATTCGTGAACGATCTCGCATTGACTGCATTCTATAACAAATTTATTTGACTAGTCTTTATTTACATTCCTATCTGCCACAAGAATGAACATAGGATAATAATGTAAGTGTTCACAGTGAAAACCTGTACGAATAGGCTTCTGTATTCTATGGTTTCAGGCGCCAGCTTGAGCAGGTAACCAGCACGCTGGCAACCTGCTTCCACTGTGTGCGTACCCTAACGCCCCTTGCAGCAGGTTCAGAATTTAAACTACGTCTGATTCGTGAACGATCTCGCATTGACTGCATTCTATAACAAATTTCATTGACTAGTCTATATTTACATTCCTATCTACCGGCCTGGCAATGCTGGTAGATAGTAAAGTTTGATTACAAATAGGCGAGTTATGATGCCTATAAAAGTTACAATTTGTAGGTCCTTGCAGGAATTCATCGAGTTTCTTATCGCATACCTCACCTAATCGCCATTGGTCTCATCCAACTGACTACCATTAACGTTAGAATCTAGTTTCCCAACTGCCCTCTAGTAAGGTCAGAATCTGTTTCGTCCAACTGGCCCCTAGCTAAGTCACGATGTAACTCGAACATCTCGCCTTCAGTAGTCATATACTCGCCGATCCGCAACGGGTTCAATTCGCGACAAATTCGAAGAAAAAAAATGGTGCGTGCATATAATAAGGAAATGAGGTGCTTGATATGGCTTCTACGGGTTAAATATAATGGGGACGTCAAAAATTAATTTTCAAACTCAATCTATAATAAATAATTAGTTCATCACTACAAAAAAGTTTCGTGACTCAAACGAATTGTGGACAAAAAATTCAAGCCAAATCACAAAACTTGATAGTGAAGTAGTAAAGAGTAAGGATACTTAACTGGCCTGCAGTTAATCAGAGAGTAAACAAGATGACGAAAAGTGCAAGCCATCTGGACAAGCAACACTTCTAATAAGCGCTACTGCGCTACACTCAATTTAATGTAAAGAGACACGCTAGTGCTTCGGTACACACAATAATTCAGGGGAAAATTAATGACTGGTTTGGACGGCTTAGTAATGACAGGATAACAACGAAACAGTAAGTACTGGGCGAAAAATAAATGCGCTTCTTTTGCGCTCGATACCATGAAGAGGTGGTAGAATGATACCAATTTCTGTGTTCAACAGAATTGAAATGCGTGATTTTTAATATCATCAGTAAATTGAAATTGCTGCATCGGTTGATTTGGTTCAGCCGCTCCTCGGGGGAGGGGGAAATATACTTTACAGTTTACATGATCGAGAGAAGTGAGCTAATTTAGGGAGCACTCGAAGACTTTGGTTATTAGTGAATAATTAATTATATAGTCAGATGGCTTTTCGAGCGTCAAAGGAAGGCAAGCGTTCAAAGCAAAGGTTCATCGAGTGGAAAAAATAAAGCAGCCAGGCCAGTACCTATTGACGCCGCGAGTTGGCAGAGAGCTGCTCATCTTTTCCTGGATAAATTTCGGGTACGCACTGAAAATAAAGTAAATAATTTGCATCGCGGGCACATTTCAGGGGCCATACTTTCAAAACGCGCTAAGTGAACGTAAGTACTTACGCTCTATTTTCTTGTCTGTGATTGGTGGATTTTGCTTGAAAGGCCGGCAATGATCGGCTGATGAACTTACGATCTCTTAACTTTTTTTTAAAGTATAGGCCCTGATCTTTGGAGGTAGAACAATAATTTATATCTGATTTTATCTTAATAGTCACGAGAGTTACTATATTTTTCTTTGCCCAAATAATATTTTTAGAAAACGCCTCCTAAGAGAATTGACTCTATTTCTCTATTTATATCAGATAAATTTTGAACTGACGGTAGATTTTTCACTCTTTCATCCTTCATAATTTATTGCATTTTTATCGTATGACAGAAACGTACCAACAAAATTTATCATCGTACCGCGAGTAAAAAAATAAATTCTCACAATTTGACTTGATGGATGGAAAAGTTCACGTAGCCCCGGCAAATTGAAAAGTAGATGATTCATAACAAATTTCAAGCTACATGACCGTACTAAAGAAATCAGAAAAAACTTCTAAATAAATCTTTATGGTTGATAATGGACACTCGGCACTTAAGAAGCGGTTTGCGTTCTAGAATCAACTTCCTTTAGCGGCAAGCCGATCTTCAGAAATCAGGCGCAAAGAAAGATGGATACGATTCATTTGGATAGCTACTATGTACTACTTCCGGGGCGGAATCAAAATTTATTCATGTGCCATCCAAACATGTTCTCAATATCTGTCAAAGAGTACTGAAAATTTAAATTTATCTCCAAAACGTAAATTTAAAAGACACTTTAGTTGCAGGCAGCATTGGACAAATATAATATGAACAATTCATAGCTGATCTCGAACAAACTGCAGTGGCGTGAACCGCGTGATCCAATGAATTGAGGCGTGTTTTGGTTGTGATTCCGCCCAGAAACTCCGATTTTTGAGGGCGAGTTTTAGACACACTTTCGAAACCATTCGAGCAGCGACCCACTAAAAGTTCACTAAGGTTAAAGTACATGGCATGGTCACTAATCTTGCTTCAAATCGTATTTCATGGTCAAACTAACTTACTTTTGCAACCCTGAATTGAGCTGCGCCAAGCTTTGTTGCATTTGCTGAAGAGCCTCCACCGCGTCTCCCTCGGAGTTCACGCTTGCAGGGTTACTGCAGTACATAGGTCCCGCAGAGCCCGGGTTCTTTCGAACAGCTTCGATTTGTTGTTGATCTGGACGGACTATTTTAAAAGGCGGTTGCCCCGATGGCCATTTTGGTGTTGTTGAGGGTGTCGACAATGATCCAAAAGCAGCCGATGTCCTTGATGATGTGGATGCAGAAAGTTGTACCGTGGGTGATTGATTTTGTCTAAGGGCCCCTGCACCTAGACCACAAGTTGCAACTAAAGGATTATCGCTTGCGTAAGCAAGTTCTGCATCGGACGAACTGTCCTGTTCCATCACGATGGGAACTATTCGAACTCGCGGACCAGATAATGAAGTACTTTGAGGCGTCGCTGCTTCAGCTGAAGGCTGACGTAGATAAATGGGAGCCTGAACCTCCGGCCATCTTGGAGAACCAACGCTGGTTGATCGCGAATGCTGCGACTGACCATAAGCATTAAAATTTGAAGATGGGCTAACATGTTGTCGTGGTGTTGCGTGAGAATCGTTTGTAATAGAATTGTCTTGAGAAGTTTTTTGTTGCTGATATTCCCGATGTCGGATTGCCCACGGCCTCAGAACGGGACCGGACAATGACTTGTCAATCGGCTGTTTATTTTGCCTAGGTAGAGTGTTACTGCCTGCGTCTTCAAGCTGAAAATTGGCGACTCCATGCTGAAATACAACCGGAGGACTAGAAATGACTGCTTTCTTAAATGTGGGAGATGGGGCAGACTGAACTCTCGATTCTTCCTTGGACTGCTGCCGTTGAGAACGTTGTTGCTGAAGCCTCGCTTGGGCGACTTGAGCGTAATTTACAAACTCGGGAGGAGCGGACGCTTCTCTTCGAGGCACAGCCGACATCCAAGGTAAGGGGGCTTTTATCAATCCTGTCGTGGGACTGATGTTTGGACTTTTCTTTTGCGCTGCCACTTTTTCTTGAACTCTGTTCTGATCTTCAGTGGTGGAACAGGGTTGATTGTCGGAGGTATTCGTCGGAATACTTAGACGCCGCTGCGCTGGAACTGATCCCATGCGCACGAAGCGGTTGTTACCAGCTTTCAAGGTGGGCGACAGGGAGCTGTAGCCCGGCTGTTGGTAGCCCACTTGTGAGCAGCCGCGTGGATAGCCAGAGCCATCCTCAAATTTATGATTTTCCAATTCCCTTTGCTGCTGAGCTTCCAAATCATGAAGCTTCTGCCATTCTGTCTCTTGTTTCTTCAACTCCAAATCTCTTTGCTTCTGAATTTCCAACTTTTGTGCTTTCAGCCGTTCTTCTTCGATCCGTTGCGATTCGAGCTCTTGCAGTCTTTTTGTTTCTTCTCTACGTTGACGTTCATGTGCCTCATGCTGTCGTTGCTCCTCTTCTCGCTTCATCTTTTGCTCCATTTCAAGCTTTTGCCGAAGCTCATTTTCTGCTTTAGTCCTATCCTCCTCTTCTCGTAATCGCTGTTTTTCCTGGTCTTCTTCATAAGCTTCTCTTCGTTTTTTCTCTTCCACCTCCTTGCTGTTTTCCCTCTCTATTCTGCTTCTCTCCACAATTTCCCGCCTTTGCTTTTCTTCTAATTCCAATTTTTGTTGATCGCCAGCCTGCTGTTTCTGCTTTTCTTCAGATACTCGACTTTGGATTTCTTTAATTTTTTGTTCTTGTTTTCCTACAGTCTCGTTTTCACGTCGGTCTTCAGCTTCATGTTTTTGCCTTGAAGTTGATTTTAGTTCTTGAACCTCCTTATGTCCTCCATCATTCTCATTCGTCCTGGATTTGGTACTTAATCTCAAAATTGGCTGGACATAAACATCGGCATCATTTGAAGAAATATTTGAAGCTTCATTCTTCGAGTCTTCAAATATGCTCTGATGTCTTGCAGTAATCTGCTCCAACGCAGAAATTTGTTTCAATAGAGATTCATTGCTGCTGTACTCTTTTTCTGAAGCTTTTTCAATATTCGATGTTAATGAAGGCGTCACGGAACCTTCTCTGACATCTTCCATTGCCAGACTAGAAGAATCAGCATTCAGGTCACTCTCAGTTCCGGCGGAGAACGTTGGAGAAATATTGTTATTATTGGCAGCGTTTAAATAAAGTTTGGAATTGTCTAATGTTACAGCGTTAGCTTGATCTTCATTCCTCAAGAGAGACGCACGTCTCGCTGTGGAACATTGAGGTGGCATGGGGGGTGGTGCAGGGATCCCGTCCGACCCTCCAGATTCACTCGTGTTGGTGGACACCAACGACGGCGAAGGCGATCGCGGATCAGACGAATGTAGTGAAAATGCGGGAGAACTCGGCGTGTTTAGATTAAGATCGCCTTGCATAGATGCCTGCTTAGCAGGAGACACTGGAGATACAGGCATAACTGATGCCTGTGGAGAGACACTTGATTTTATGCTGCTGCTCGGAGCAATATCTAAACCAATAGCAAAGGGTGGAGGAGGTGGTGGTGGTCCACAAACATTTTTCGTCAGTGGGGGTGGTTCTATAAGCTTAGCTGAGGCCGGTGGAGTTGGTATTGCCTTTGTCATCGACATTCCTGGCATCGGTAAGACTTGAACTGCTATTCCCGACGTAGCGGCTGGTGATGTGATCCCTGGGACTGGGGACTGTGGCTGAGTCTGGGCCAAAGGCGACGGCCTCACTCCTTCTAGGGCAGCATTCCTGCTCAGGCGCCTCTGCATTCTTGGCGATCTGGCATTGATCAGCAAAATCTCAGATTTCCGGCTTACGAGGCAAAACCCTGTGCCTACTGACGGTAACCTGACTTACCGGAGTTTGACATAAGAACAGCTTTGATGACGGGTAGTTCGTTCAAGACATACGGTTTAAAAATTATGTGAAAATCCAATCAATGAAAGTGCACGAGGTCATAATCTCATATGCTCGTTTATTATTTTGTTTCCATAGTAATGACACGAACTTCCTTTTTTATTGGTCTTCTTGCATAGATATATTTATTTTAAAGAACTTATAGAGGTTGTTTGGTTCTAGTTTTTGGCGGATGGAATACTGCAGGTAAAATACTATAATTTTATTTATATAGTTTCCCTGTTTATAAAAGAAGATATTTATACAGAAATTTTAGTCCAATGAACACGCTACTGAACTTTCATCGGATACAGATAGGCTTTAGAAGAACTACCATTCATGATTTTTGAGCTTATATGAGAACTGGAAATAGAAAATTTTGTAATTTAACTGGAAGAAAATGAAACAGACGACTTGAGAATTAAATTCCCAGTCAAAAATAGCTAAGGAAAAAAATGAATGCTTAGACTACGTTGTTTATAAATAGTTTGTGTTCTGTGTCTTTTTTGTGTGTTATAAACAGTTTGTGATTTGTGTTTTTTAAATAATTAATTTCACGTCATTGTTATCGCGTTACTTTGAGTACAACTTGCGGTAACATCAAGACCCAGGCCAGCTCGAACGATACCAGCTCGAACGCTCCTGGACATCTTACTTTCTTTCACGTCTATCATGCAAATTAAATGTTGCAGTTAACAATGGTTCCCAATCCTATAGTAAATTTTTCAGATAATTGTTAGCAAATAACTATTTTGCCGTTAATTAATGAAAATTTCCATTGCTTCTAATCAATAATTATCCATTGATTGTAACATTTACCTTTAAGCAATGAAATAAATTACGTATGATTTTGTAAAATACTTTGCCTTGTAAGCTAAACAATATTTTTCAACACATCCGGAGTGACAAATGATAAGCCAACACCTCGAGCTACAAGATTAACGTAGACGTGTAAAATTTCGCTGATTAATTTTCAATTTTTCATGTTGGTTGAGCACACATTTTAAGCCGATGACATATAGGATAAATATACCTACTCGTTTAAAAAAAAAATGTTGGCCTCAGACGCTTCAACAAAGAATGGAGGTAGATAAAATCATGACTATCTACTTTAAAACCATTATTAGAAGCGAGTCATCAATTGCTCTCACAATCTTAGTTTTTGCTGCCTTAATATGAATGAATTGCACTGCTGAGGAAAGAACCATTTGATTCTATCAGAAAATTCCCGTTTAACTACAGTGTTAAATTTCCCCCAGCGGCCGAGAAGGGAATATAGAACTCCATGTTATCCGTGTCACGAATACAGAACAATAAATCATCCAATTCACAAATACAGAACGATATATCATCCACACCACAAATACAAAAGGATGAACCATACACGTAAATAATTTCTCTTACTCTGTAATATTTTATTCGCATAATATTCAAAAATCGTTCATTGTTCACGCTGCTAATCACTCGGCTTTTGACCATCACATAAGCTGACAAGTTCCTCGCCTTATCGAGTATGACTGGCAGACTTAGAGATATTTTAAAACTGTATACTGTGTACGATACTTGTCTTTTACGCATGTGTTTAACGTGTTTAAAATTTTGGAGACACTCGTGTATCAATTCAAGTGTTAGCTTAAAAGTGTATACTGTGTACGACACTAGTCTTTTGTGCATGTGTTTGACGTGTTTAAAATTTTGGAGACACTCGTGTTTCAATTCGAGTGTTAGCATTTCATAATTGCATAAATGAACTAGAGATGCTACCCTCCACCAACCTAGTCGGTTAAATGACGACTAGGGGAGACACTAGAGATGCTATCCTCCACCAACCTAGTCGGCTAAATGACGACTAGGTTGGTGGAGGAGAGACGACTAGGAGAGACAAAAAATGACGACTAGGGGGGACACTATAGAAGCTATCCTCCACCAACCTAGTCGGCTAAATGACGACTAGGAGAGATAAAAAATGACGACTAGGAGAGACAAAAAATGACGACTAGGAGAGCCAAAAAATGACTAGGGGAGCCACTCACCTGATCTCGGACAGGTCCAGACCGCCGGGGGTGTACGTGAAGGGCTTCTTGTCCTTCATCATGGCGCCCGCCAGAGCTGCAGGAGGCGCCGCCAGGGGCATCATCAGGGCCGCCCCGCGGGCGCTAGGACGGCCCTGCGCCGGCGCTGGCTGGGGGGGAGAAAGTCAAAGCTCTCGCTACAATGGCCACAATAATAATTAGGGCACAATAATAATTAGGGCACAATAGTAATTAGGGCACAATAGTAATTAGGGCAGAATAATAATTAGGGCACAATAATAATTAGGGCGCACTGATAATTAGGTAATATTTACCGAATAATAAAAAATGCCTACAAAATTTAAATACATGTAATAAGGTACTACTACGGATGTTGAGGGTTAATTTATCCGCCAAAACATAACATGGTCGATAGTTGCCCATCAAAATATTCGTATTTTTAAGAGATTCGAACAATAGACATTCAGCTGAAAGGCAGATATTCTTAATATATTTTTGATGGAGATAAAGCGTAACTGCTACAATTGAATCCGAAAGTAATTCGTCAGTTTCTAGAAGAACATTCCTATAACTAATAAGATGAAATGCAAGAATCAAATAAGGGAAAGCGGACGAATGTGGATCTCCAATAGACGAGGAGCTTGAAAAAATATAAATATAAATTTGAAAGCAGGAGGTATGAACTGTCAGGTGGAAAAAGTCACCAACTGTACGAGACGGCGGTAAGGGTATAATTGATTGGTTATCAATAATTTATCTATTGCGTGGGCCATTTAACTATCATAGGGAAAAGCGATCGTTACGAGTAATGATCGTTTTCCTTAGAGGCATGATTGAAAAACGTTTTAAAACAAAATAGATCTGTGAATTACAAAATTCGAAGATTGAGTGTTGTTTGACGGGGAAACTGTACGTCTTGATTGCGTGTTGGAACGATCGATGAAATATTGAGTCGTACCATAGTGCTAATATGGTTTTCGTGTACGTTTGTATATTAGTTGTAGTTGGTCATCTAGGTGTGACGTGAGCGTGACAGCATCACACAAGACAAGTACCGGTACTCATTTTTGAGCAACGTTGCAAAGGCCCGATTTACAATTCAAATTTTACCCGAGCAGAGCGAGGTTTATAACAGATGTCAATTTCGCTCTTGCAGTCCACTGAGTTTTTGTGGTGCTTCTCCATTTTGTGTTATTGACTTTACGTTTTTCGTACGTCTTTTTTTTTGCACTCCTAAATGTAGAAAAATTAGTTGACGTACCTGCAGCAAGGCGGGGGGCGTCGCCCCGGCCACCACAAATGGAGGCGGCGGGGGTGGGGGTGGAGGACCAGCTGAAACAAAAAATGTTTTTAAGTTTAATTATTGTAAAAGTAACCCATCTAATCTGTAGCATTTTCAGTTCAGCTGTTTCTCCATATTTATTTGTTCAATCGATTTCTTAAGAGACTTTAGCTTTATTAGTTAACTATAGGAGCAAGACAATTACAGTTGCCATTATTGCTCTTCGGTGAGTCATCTGATCGGAACTTTGACATCATGCGATAATGTCTTAATTAGATGTCAATGTATAAATAGTACCTATACGCTCTGTTAACCCGTTAAAGTTAATCAGAGCAAAGCCGTTTCTTACAAAGATAAAAGATTATTTGTACGAATGATGGAAATTCTTCAAGACGCTATTCCATTGGCCAAATAGTGCAATAAATTACTGAAATTTTCATTCTCACAAACGACCTCCTAAAAAAATTCAGTTTCCTAACAAGAAGATTTACACTGAAAAATATGTCCTACCGTCACTGACGACCTCATCAAGAAGTCGTTTTCCCTCATTAATAGGATAATCCATAAGAATCTCTACTCAACAAATCAATAAGAAGATAATCCACAAGAATCACTACTTAATAAATCAATAAGAGGATAATCCAAAAGAATCACTACTTAATAAATCAATAAGAAGATAATCCATAAGAATCTCTACTTAACAAATCAATAAGAAGATAATCCACAAGAACCTCTACTTAATAAATCAATAAGAGGATAATCCATAAGAATCTCTACTTAATAAATCAATAAGAAGCACCTCATGCCGCTGCATCACACCGCTGGCAGTGCCAGCACCACGCACCACAGCACCTCATGCCGCTGCATCACACCGCTGGCAGTACACCACACTATGAGATGCTGATACGAGTGTCGGCATTGAAGCGTCTGCTCATCACAGAACGGTGTCAGCATACCACTAAGCGACGAGTGTCTGGTAATGGTGTTTCTGGCAGTGTGTGGTGTGTGCCTCAAATTATTTGTGTGCTTACGCCTTCACAGTTAAAGTACCAGCGGCCATACTTTCAAAACTCGCTAAGTGAACGTAAGTACTTACGCTCTATTTTCTTATCTAGGATTGGTGGATTTGGCTTGAAAGGCCGTCAATGATTGGCTGATGAACTTACGATTTCTTAACTTTTTTTGAAAGTATAGGTCCTGCTGGACGGGTACGCTGGTGGGTCGCTTTCACCGTCGTCACCCCCAGCCGCCGGGAGGCAGTTCGTCCTGCCGGCCTCAGGGTCACGTGGGGCACTTAGGCTAATAACGCTCGTATGTGACTAGTCGGGCAAGCTGATGAAAGATGCTCGTCCTTGCTTCCCGCTCATAGTAGTGGGACAAACACGGACGTTTAAGAATTGTGCTCATGAGCACGGCCGGTCATCACTTGAAGATCTTGTGGGTGAATTAACTCTTCTATCAGCTGCGTCGTGCACCCACCGTCCAGCAGCAGGTGATGGTCATGTATGTTTGCTTATTGAAGTTCAGTACCAGACCGATTGTCATCTACCACGTGTCCATGAAGGCATGCCATTTCCTTCTCTTTTTAGCGCATTTTCTCATTTATGGGAAGAAAAGGCGCTATTGTGCTCGCCATGTACGTCTGTTTGCCTCTCTTTCCGTTTGTCTGTCTGTCCGTCCGTCCGTGACTTCACATCTTCGTCGACGAGAAAATGCGCTCTCTGTCACTCACTGCAGTGAGTACTGAGTTATATTTTTATTGAGTACGGTTATACATATTTTTCCGCCTTTGACGTCGAATCGTTTGATCATTGACGTTGAAGTTCACTGGACAGCACTAACCGTGAACGGGGCCTATAGCTAACAGCAGTACTCGAGGAGAAACTGCACTAAGGCTACGGAAAGAAATCACATCTGTACTAAGAAACGCTCTGCAAAACTATCTTGTTAGCAAGATGCTACCGTTGTAATATGGTCACAGAACGAATTTTCGGTACAGATCATCACTTTGACGTCACAGGCNAAACTGCACTAAGGCTACGGAAAGAAATCACATCTGTACTAAGAAACGCTCTGCAAAACTATCTTGTTAGCAAGATGCTACCGTTGTAATATGGTCACAGAACGAATTTTCGGTAAAGATCAATAAAAATTCGGATATGGGTTATCTTCGGGTGAAGGATACTTTGAAGTCAAAGGCTAGTTGACTGCTATAAATTCTGTGGCGTTCGTTGCCATGCAGGTAGCGGTTCTCCATCCCAGATTCTTTACCATTCATATCTCCTAGCGACCTCACTCAGTTCAGGCTGTTGTTAGTCCTCATCAGCACTCGCATACCGTCCGAAAATAAGGATGTAAATGCAATTAAATTCTGAAGCGATGTTGGCGATGTGGGTGAAGACGTGAAAATGAACACGTGTCCGGAAGACACACGATTATCTCATTTAGATTTATAGTCCAGTTAATTATTTTACAATACGCGTAGGTTAATTTTACACTACCAACAATCAGTGGATAAAAATAATACGTTTTGAAATATGCGGGGCATATAAATGCTCGAGCTGAAGGATGCAGACTGCAGGGCCTAGAAATGCTGGAATTGAAGGATGCAGACTGCAGAGCATAGAAATGCTGGAACTGAAGGATGCAGACTGCAGAGCATCTCTGTCACTCACTGTAGTGAGTATTGAGTTATATTTTTTATCGAGTACGGTTACATATTTCTCCGCCTTTGACGTCGAATCGTTTGATCTTTGACATTGAAGTTCACTGGACAGCACTAACCGTGAACGGGGCCTATAGCTAACAGCAGTACTCGAGGAGAAACTGCACTAAGGCTACGGAAAGAAATCACATCTGTACTAAGAAACGCTCTGCAAAACTATCTTGTTAGCAAGATGCTACCGTTGTAATATGGTCACAGAACGAATTTTCGGTACAGATCATCACTTTGACGTCACAGGCTAGTTGACTACTCGTTCGTTGCCAGGTAGCGATTCTCCATCCCAAATTCTTTACCATTCACATCTCCCTGCGACCTCACTCAGTTCAGTCTTTTGTTAGTCATCGGCACTCGAATACCGTCCGCAAATGACGATGTAGCTGCAATTTCATTCTATATCGATGTTGGCGATGTTTGTGAAGATGTAAACATTATCTGGTCCATGGAAAGATTTTTTCCATGCAGCGAACCCTCTGGCACACCCACTCTCATTTTCGCATCGCATAATTTTAAGCCTACAACCACGACAGTTTCTACCCTATTACCTTATCAGGGAGCTAAGTGTGAATGTATGTGTGAGAGTATGGGCGATGTGTAAGGGTATAGGCTTGTGATTGTGATTAGGATTGTGTGAGAATGGAGTAGAAACAAAAGAAAGGAGGGAGGATGATGAGCGTTTCATGTGTAGTGGGGACGTGAGGGAGCTGTGGAGCACCTGATGGCGGAGAAAGAGAAATTATGATGGAAATGATTTTATTCGAGGGGAGGGTATAAGAGGGTGAGAGTAATGACTTGAGGTATGTGAGATCAGGTGAGACATGGATTGCAGTGATTGTGGGTTGGTCAGAGCCTCAGAGGGAGCAACTGTGGCTGTGATTGAGAGTGGCGCAGAATACAGGGTGATTCACAGAAATTTCCTGATTTGAAAGCTCAATAAAAAAGAACTAGTACAGATATCATTAAAATATATATTTTATTGAACAAGACATTACCTGAGTTTTTGTATAATTTAGTATTAATGATGACACCGGACAGATGACGGCCCCTTTGTCAATGCATATTAACGGGTATGTTAGCGATGGCTTGGCGTATGTTGCTTTGGAAATGAGGTAGGGTCCTTGGACAGTCACTGTAAAAAATTGATTTAAGATAACTCCATAAAAAATTACACGGAACCTAATCGGGGATCGGGCCGGATTTCCGATCAGGAACCCGGCCTGAAGGACGAATATGGAACCAAGTACGAGTGCTCGTTGAGTAGCGATAATGGAACGGCCATTAGAGAAATACGGCTCGACAGCAAACGCACGCTGCTCACTTGTCCAATGCATAGTGGCAACTGACTAAGCGGGACACAATACTTCATGACCTGCCTTTCATATGAAATACTCACTGCCCTTTTCCTACAACATCTGGTAGCTTGGCGCGAAATACAAAACAGGAAGTTTCTGTGAATCACTGTTTTGGAGAGCGCATGGCGGCTAAGAGAGAGGAGAGGGAGACAATAGGTTTGAACTTCGAAGCTAATCACGAAGGATAAAAAAATTAATTCATTTATTGAGAAATTCAAATCTATCAGTATAATGACTAGATTTAATTCTTTTTTTCAATTGGTAGATTGTATTAAAGTCTATTCTGAAATAATGACGATTATTTGAGCTCTCAAATTTAATTTTCATGTGAGGAAAAACGAAGATTGGTTTCATACAGGCTACAGGGCTATGTTTTCTTTATGTATACGGCACAGTTTTTCTTGAGCCGCCTCACTAAATTCAGCAGGGAATAAGTGCTGTGTGCTTGGCTCAAGCCGCTGTAGTGGACGCAAAAATATCACGAAAATGCTTATAGATCATCTACTATGAAGAAAAACTTGTCAAAACCGCCAACTGAACACGTGCATACGATTATCTCATTTAGATTTATAGTCCAGTTAATTATTTTACAATACGCGTAGGTTAATTTTACACTACGGACAATCAGTGGATAAAAATAATACGTTTTGAAATATGCAGAGCATAGAAATGCTGGAACTGAAGGATGCAGACTGCAGGGCCTAGAAATGCTGGAACTTAAGTATGTCTAGCCGTGAAGTGATAGTGCTGAAGTTTGGGCGGTTCATATAGCGGCCACCCATGAATCACTCTTAGATTTACAAGGATTTTTACATCTGTTAATTACAAGTAATAATGTCACTAGATTGCTTGAATCGCAGATTCACTAGAAATTTAAAAGCGAAGAAAACTCCACAAAAATTCAGCATTTCTCTATTGAAAACGTTTTGGAGACCAGCTCCATCGTCAGTTCGATAAATCTAGAACACAAATACAGTCAGAAAATTAATAAAGTTTGGAGTCAAAAGAAAAAAAAACAACAGAAGTTAAAACCTAAATTTACAGGCACTATTATTAAAATTAATAATAGTGCCTGTAAATTAAGGTTTTAACTTCTGTCACCTATTATTAATAATTAATAATAGTAATAATTAATAATAGTTAATAAAATAATTTATTAATTTTCTGACTGTATTTGTATTCTAGATTTATCGAACTGACGATGGAGCTGGTCTCCGAAACGTTTTCAATAGAGAAATGTTGAATTTTTGTGGAGTTTTTCTTCGCTTTTAAATTTCTAGTTAATTACAAGGATTTTAAGATCTGTGAATTCATCACACGAGATACTCACCAGGACCGTTCATTGTGCCGCCTTTGCCGGACTTCAGATCTTCCTGTTGTTTCCTGAAGGAAAAAAAATCACCATGAGATAAGTGCACTGTTAGAAAAATTACCGTTAACGGTATTATACCGGCGTTTCAGTGGCTGGTGGGCACGTGAATAAAACACCGTTTCGCCGTTTTTACTCTAATTTAACACTAGAAATCCGTAAAACATCTGATAAAAACGGCGAAACAGTTTATTTTCACGGAGCGACCGGCCACTAGAACGCCAGTGGGACCGTTTTTTCACCGTTTTTTCTAACAGTGTGATCATGTTTGAATCCTTAAAACAGTACCCTTGCACATAATTATAATTAAATAGCTATAAGTAATTGGTATTAAACAATAAGCATTCGAGTGCATTTATGGTTAAAAGCACTCCTGTTATGAACTGAAATCGCACTCACATACGTACGTAACAGAGATGTTGATTGTAAAAAACAATACACAATAAAAATAAGATACAAAACACAAAAAAAAATTCAGAAACCCGTAAAAGAATCGTGAGCATAAAGACATTTCAGACATATTGTCACCGCAACACAATGCTTGGTGTCACCTGTTATATGTATTGTCCCCGCAACACAATGCTTGGTGTCACCTGTTATATGTATTGTCACCGCAACACAATGCTTGGTGTCACCTGTTATATGTATTGTCACCGCAACACAATGCTTNTTTGAGTACAACTTGCGGTAACATCAAGACCCAGGCCAGCTCGAACGATACCAGCTCGAACGCTCCTGGACATCTTACTTTCTTTCACGTCTATCATGCAAATTAAATGTTGCAGTTAACAATGGTTCCCAATCCTATAGTAAATTTTTCAGATAATTGTTAGCAAATAACTATTTTGCCGTTAATTAATGAAAATTTCCATTGCTTCTAATCAATAATTATCCATTGATTGTAACATTTACCTTTAAGCAATGAAATAAATTACGTATGATTTTGTAAAATACTTTGCCTTGTAAGCTAAACAATATTTTTCAACACATCCGGAGTGACAAATGATAAGCCAACACCTCGAGCTACAAGATTAACGTAGACGTGTAAAATTTCGCTGATTAATTCTCAATTTTTCATGCTGCTTGAGCACACATTTTAAGCCGATGACATATAGGATAAATATACCTACTCGTTTAAAAAAAAAATGTTGGCCTCAGACGCTTCAACAAAGAATGGAGGTAGATAAAATCATGACTATCTACTTTAGAACGATGATTAGAAGCGAGTCATCAATTGCTCACAATCTTAGTTTTTGCTGCCTTAATGTGAATGAAGTGCACTGCTGAGGAAAGAACCATTTGATTCTATCAGAAAATTCCCGTTTAACTAGTGTTAAAGTTTCCCCAGTGGCCGAGAGGGGAATATAGAACTGCCTGTTATCCGTGTCACATACACAGACCGATAAATCATCCACTTCACATATACACAGAACGATGAATCATCCACGTCACAAATACTGTACGATATATCATCCACATCATAAATACAAAAAAAAAATAACCATACAAGTCAATAATTTTTCTTACTCTGTAATATTTTATTCGCATAATATTCAAAAATCGCTCATTGTTCACGCTGCTAATCACTTGGCTTTAGACCATCACATAAGCTGACAAGTTCCTCGCCTTATCGAGTATGACTGACAGACCATGAGTCTTTTTAAAAGTGCATACTGTGTACGATACTAGTCTTTCATGCATGTGTTTGACGTATTTAAAACTTCAGAGACACTCGTGTTTCAATTCGAGTGTTAGCATTACGTAATTCTATCAAGAACTAGAGGTGCAATCCTGCACCAACCTAGTCGGCTAAATGACGACTAGGAGATACAAAAAATGACGACTAGGGGAGACAAAAAATGACGAACTGTAAAGTCATCACACGAGTTACTCACCAGGACCGTTCATTGTGCAGCCTTTGCCGGACTTCAGATCTTCCTGTTGTTTCCTGAAAAATAAAATCACCATGAGATAAGTTAACATGTTTGAATCATTAAAATTGTACCCTTGCACACAATGATACACAAATAGCTATAATTAATTGTTCTTAAACAATAAGCATTCGAGTGCATTTATGGTTACAAGCACTCCTGTCAAGAACCGATGTCGCGCTCATATACATAACAAAGATGTTGATTGTGAACATTTATACGCAATAAAAATAAAATCTTAAACATAAAAAAAGTCAGAAATTCATAGATAATCGTGAGCATGAAGACATTTCAAACATATTGTCACCGCAATACAATGCATGGTGTCATGACCGGCTATATGTATTGTCACCGCAATACAATGTATGGTGACATGACCTGCTATATGTATTGTCACCTCTAAATAATGTTGAGTGACATGCCTCGCCAGGTGTATCGTTCGCATCAATTTTCCAAGTTGCAACTTGAAGAAATGTAGGTAAGAATTAAACGTTTTCCCGATACTTGTTCTCTCAATTTGCGTTCTCGCAATTTACGAACACTCATCGTATAGACATCTCTGAGAGCAAGCACCGCGGAAAGAAGACACAAATAATAATTTAGTTAATACGAATTTAGCAAATAAATAGTGAAGAGCAATAGAAAAAGATAGCATTTAGAATTGATAACCATTAGTTAGAGAGTACTACTTACTACCATTCAAGTCTAATCTAAAATAATAATAATCGTATGTGAATAAGGTATATTGTTTTGCAGAGAAAACCCATAAAAAATAAATCTTGAAGATTTAATTGGGAAAATACCACTTAACACGCGATGCTAATGCCATTCGGAACGTTAGGTTTGATTGTGAATAAGAAGACTACAGCAGAAGCGAATTTGCTTCTGCTTCACTTCGGATATTGTGCCATGTTTCTTGATGCAGCGCAAGTGCACAGGTGAAGCAGAGTTGTGCAGATGAAGCAGAGCTGTGCAGATGCAGCGCAAGTGCACAGGTGAAGCAGAGTTGTGCAGATGAAGCGGAAGTGCACAGGTGAAGCAGAGTTGCGCAGATGCAGCGCAAGTGCACAGGTGGAGCAGAGCTGTGCAGATGCAGCGCAAGTGCACAGGTGAAGCAGAGCTGTGCAGATGCAGCGCAAGTGAAGAGAAATAAATACATGGTTGTCGTCACTTTCTCTCCCTGACCTGCGCCATCTGGACACCCCAGACATGACTTGTTGTCTCCACGCATGAGACAATAACTTGGTCATAAGTAACTCCTCCGTCAGTATTTGATATCATTTATCAATTACCGTAGTGAAGTTATATTAGTACCTACATTTAAATTAGTATTGTTACATTAAGAGAGAGATTAATAGTATTAATTTAATATTAATAGTATTAATAATATTAATTAATAGTATTAATACTATTAATAATAGTATTGTTACATTAAGAGAGAGATTAAACTTCCGATAGAGAGCAGTACAGAACATCAAGAGGTTTGATTAGTAACCTCGTAGTGCTAGGAATATATATATATAAGCCGTCGCTATATAAATGTTGTTCGCATCAGAGGTGTGGAGAACTGGTGACGCTAATATACCTGCTGCCATTACAAGGTGTGCAGAACTGGTGACGCTAATATACCTGCTGCCATTACAAGGTGTGGAGAACTGGTGACGCTAATATACCTGCTGCCATTAGTAAAATGCGGTGCGCGCGGTGGCGGGGGCTCAGCGTAACAGGTGCACGCGACTTTGCGCGCGGTAGACCAGCGCGACGGTATTTAAAACGATATTAGGTATACCTACGAGATGTGAAAGATAAAAAAAGTAACATCGCTACGTTGGGGATATGGAAGCTCTGCCCTGCAAAGATTATTAGCCACAATACGCAATGCGGGTCACCAGCACAGCACCTTTGATTGGATACTCTGATTTTTGGACGAGGCTGCATATGCGTGCCTTCGAATCACATTTTCTCAGCCATCTCCTATTTGGTTCTTCGGTCGAGTTACGAAATACCACAAAAGATTGAAGCTCGACAAGTAGAAAATTATTTTTTCGATCATAATTTATTCTAGGGGTTATACAACTTTGCCAATATCCTAACTTTGGCATCAAATCCAGTAAACACAAATAGTGATTAAGTAAGCCGTTAGCTTTTAACAGCAAGAACCGCCTAAGTGAGTCATCATTTAAATAGGAGTTTCCACGTTCATGAAAATTTGTGGGAACGTCTTCAACAAATTAGAATATTCAGAAACCAATGGGACAAATATGGTCGGGAAAATAATTAATGTACACAATTAATGTAAACAAAGGGGCGAGATGACACCGCTGGCGCCGCCCGTAAGCAGGAAGCTCATCTGGGCGATCAAGCGCGACCATCTGGTGGATGACTGCTTATTTCAGGCCATGCAATAACAACCATCTGGCTGATCTACCATCTACCAACTAACAACCATCTGGCTGATCTACCATCTACCAACTAACAACCATCTGACATTTCAATGGTCGCCTGGCTACTCGGCTGCGCATTTAATCCCTTACAATTCTAATATAAATTGAAAAAACTCCATAACGTAGAAGTTTCTATCGATTTTTATATTTGGATTGAAATCCAATGTGATGCAACTACCTGTAGTTTCCCATGTTGGTACACAAGTTTTATTTATTATTACATTTATTTTATCGTTTTTTATACTTGCCGGCAGGTCAGAGGTCTTCGTTACTAAATATAAAAGATTTAACTTTAGCCACCACAATTCAGTGACTGATTTTTATACCGGATTGCCATTTGATGGCTAATTCTCAATGACGTCAAAAAGCAGACATGAAAAACGTTTATATATACATCAAATTTCTGCAATGGTATAAATTAAGATTATATTACACTAAGCGATAGTATTCTCAATCGCGAAAGCTGAAAAACACATACATTGGAGCATGATTTCATGGTGCATGCTGTACATAAACGTAAAATAAATTAATAAAATGAACCTAAAATGACAACTGAAAAATATTCGCGAAAGCTGAAAACACATACATTGGAGTGTGATTTCATGGTGCATGCTGTACGTTAATGAAATATAAATTAAACTTAAAATGACAACTGAAAAATATTTAACTTAAAAAATAGCTAGCTAGCAATCACGAAAAATTCTGCGGGAATTTGGAACGCTGGAACTTCGCTGAGATTCCGGACACGGAAGTGAAGAGACCAACGCAGCAGCGTTACGAAATATTCCCGTGACCTTAGAAGAAAAAAATACGAGGAGAGAAATTCTTCTGGTTTATATATGGGACCCCTTAAGTAAGACCATTGCCCCGTGACCTTAGAAGAAAAAAAATAAGAGGAGAGAAATTCTTCTGTTTTTTTTCTCAGGGACCTCTCATGTACGACCATTGCAAGGATGAATAATTATGAAATTAACGATTATTTCTACAGTATTATATATTATATTAAACAGACACGATTATTTCTACAGTAGGTACCGTTATATATTATATTAAAATATCTCCAAATATTTTTATATATGGAGAGATGGAATGTTATTGTTAACATTTCAAATATTTGCGTTGGATAGAAGCGACAAAAACAAATTTTCATATTTGCAGGAACTTGTACAATGAAAACTATGCCAGAGATAGCAACAAAAAAAAAGTAACAAACGATATCAAGAAATATTCGAAATAACTAGCACCGCTGACGAATTTCATAAGAGTCAAACTGATAACGAACAAAACGATCAAGACAATTAATATTATAAAGTCAAATGAATTTCGATGATAAATGAATAATATTTCCAGCGACACTAAACATTTTGGATCCATGCAATGAATAAGAATTTTACACAACGCAATTACAAGGTAAAACAATTAACAAAAGAGCAAATATGGCCATTAAGACTTCTGAATCTCAACATTGTTATGGTCATAAAATCTTGAGAGTTACCGTATGCGTAAGCGCACAATGTTGATGACGTGTGGTCACTGACCCTTTTTATATTGCATTTTTCCCCATGGAATTTACCAGCTATTTTCATTTTTACTTCTTCTTGAGGAAAATTTCATAGATGAGAATAAATACACGAGGAAAAATGTGTACAAAAGTTCTCATTAAGAGAATCGCGTTCAGCGGTTGAGTCACGAATGAGTTCTAATTCTGAATTGGCAAGCTCTCGACAGAGTGAAGAACAATTTCACTCATTCCTTTCGAACAAAATTCGTACTAAATGATTGCTAACGAAACAAAACAGCCTTGCTCGTCCATTTCACTTAAAATTTAGGAAATCCAACCTCAATGAGGTCCTATAATATAAACCTTAGGTTTATTAAAGGCCTACTCGTATCACGAAAATGTCGCCCTAAGACCACGGGAAGAACGAGCGGCACACCCGCACCGCGCGACAGCCAGGACGGCACTGAGGGGAGCTGTGCAGTGCAGCTGCCACGCGCCCTCGAGGGGTGCCAAGTGGCAGGCAGCTGCGGCCCTGCCGGCAGATGGTCAGCTGCAGCAGGTGTGAGGGATGCAGCTGTTCAGCTGCAGCAGGTGTGAGGGATGCAGCTGTTCAGGGTGGTCAGCTGCAGCAGGTGTAGGTGTGAGGGATGCAGCTGTACAGGGTGGTCAGCTGCAGCAGGTGTGAGGGATGCAGCTGTACNTGTAGGTGTGAGGGATGCAGCTGTACAGCAGGTGTAGGTGTGAGGGATGCAGCTGTACAGGGTGGTCAGCTGCAGCAGGTGTGAGGGATGCAGCTGTTCCATGCAGAGGCAATCCTTCACAGGGGCAATCCTTCACAGGGGCAATCCTTCACAGAGGCAATCCTTCACAGGGGCAATCCTTCACAGGGGGCAATCCTTCACAGGGGCAATCCTTCACAGGGGCAATCCTTCACAGGGGCAATCCTTCACAGAGGCAATCCTTCACAGAGGCAATCCTTCACAGAGGCAATCCTTCACAGAGGCAATCCTTCACAGAGGCAATCCTTCACAGGGCTTTCAATTTAAGCGACCACTTTTATGTTACGGAAAAA